AAATTCATAAAAGTTTTTGGGAAATGTCATACACGCAATATGATACAAATCATATAACCTGGGCAAAGGCATGGGGAAATCAAGTTTTGGGGGATAAAAAGGGAAATTCATGGGATTAATCTATATAAAGCGATTGACAAGTTGTGAGGACATGATGTCACAAACTGATAACCATCTTGGCAAATTGTGTTGTGATTCTCATTGTTCCATAGTTTTACATACTTTTTCAAAAATTCATAACTTTCTTATTACTTATCCGATTTTGCTCAAACTTTTTTTGATTGGTTTGTCTGATTTTTCTGCTTTTATTGAAAGTAAGTAATTTTTGGAGTGGACTTGCCCTTTAAATTATTAGTGTATAACTAAAAGATGGAATACCGGTACATTTATACCAAAATATTTGTTATTGGATGTAAATTAGAGACTGAGAGCAATATACTAAACACCATGTTGAGTTTGATCTTGTCATAACACATGTGCTGAATACACACTTCATAATCATATTAGCACAGATGGTATATCAGTGATCATGTCAGAGTGAAGCATCATCACAATATGAATTCACAGGCTCTTAATTAACTTTGTTAAGAAGTGTAATGGGTTTTCAGAATACCGCCAGAATAATTCTATGACACTATTTCACAATAAAATCCAGTTACACTTACATGTAGTCTACTGACCTACTTCAATGGTTCAAAGTTCAAAACCGTGAACTATTTCCGCCAAAATAAATCACACAAGGGCGATGCCTATGCCTTCCATTGAAGAAAGACAGCTACAAGGCAACCTTAAACTATCGAATGCAAATATCATTTTACAAGCGATCTTACTCAAGGCGAAAATGACACCTTTCATTAGAGATCCAATCATGTGGAATGCTCTAGAAACCAACCAAGCATTGTCAAGGACACGCTCTTAGGAACGAACGCAGCCAGTTGGATCTCGACTTCGCTTCACGGGGAGAAAAGGTTAACGCTAATTAAGGAGGTACTTTTTGTGCTGGTACAGACACAATACTGCTGCGCTTAATGACAGCGGCAAACATGAGGGCCGCTTAATTGATGCGAGACGTACTTGTCAATGGCACTTTTTGTTTGCTCAAATTATCAGCGATTTCTTGCCAACATGCAGGTGAACAATGCTAAGTATAAAGAGTGTGCATTTATTATTAATCATTCCAGAGAGTCGGAAGTTATAAGAGTACTAGATATCAGCCAGTATCAGAGACGTTACATATGTATTGGGGACATTCAGGATGAAATGAGAACGTTTTAGACAGAGGTAGGTCATGGGTATAAATAGAGGGCAAAACATAGTGAAATATCTACATGTATAGAAATGTGGAGTCAAAATGTGAGACTTGTTCTTGCTATGCAGCTACATGTTGAATCAGTCATGAGAAATTTCAATCATCTTTTTCTACAAATCTATTTATCAGAATGACTCACGATAGGAATGAGATGAGAGACAGACATGCTAAACGATAAGAAACAGAGTAAGAGATAGAGGAATAATGAAAGAGAGATAGAGAGAGGGAGAGAGAGAACCACACACACAGAGTCACGCATACACACACATATGTAGAGAGGAACGGAGATGGAGAGAGAAAGGGAGAGGGAGAGAGAGACAGAGACAGAGAGAAAGACACACACACACACAGATAGAGAAAGAAAATACTCTAGACAGAGAAAGAGACAGAGAGAAAATGAGAAAGAGAAAGAGACAGAGAGAGAGAGAAAGAGAAAGAGAGAGAAAGAGAAAGAGAGAGAAAGAGAAAGAGAGAGAAAGAGAAAGAGAGAGAAAGAGAAAGAGAGAGAAAGAGAGGGGGAGGGAGCACAAATTCCAGGTAAAAATATATAAAAATTCTATTCATAAAAGATGCGAGAAATCATTGTATGACCTTTTAATACAAGGTTTCCAATATTTGATTCTTCTGCAGATTCCATTTGGATTAAGGTACAAAGTCCAGCATTACTGTCATTCCTTAATCAAATAAATGATAAAAAACTTGTGGACGGTAGTTGGTCATATTCCTCATCAAATAAATATTGACCTACCGGTATCCCATATATACCTGGTACCGAAAATATTCCCATCAAACTAAAGCAAGCGGCCATTTCGAGCAAGGCACCTTTAACGAGGCAATTGGACAGACGAGAACAACAAAAGGGGGAGATGAGAATCTTGGGATTGTTTTGCAGAGACTGTTCAGGTAAACGTGGATCTTAATACATACTGCCCATTAGCTTTGATCCATCCCATTTGATGGCATGCACACAGAGGCCTGTGCGATGGCATATCTGCCATCAATTCTCTGCCCAATCTTTCTTTGGAAAGAACCCTCGCCCCATTACTTAAGTTGGGACCTTGCACTGTCTTTTATGAAAGGGGCATGCATGCTTTCTTCCTATTGAAATGAGTATGGCCTGAGTGCAAGTATCGAGGCTTCAGGTCGCGCAATAAATATAGATAACAATAAAAATATGATTCATGTTTTTCAAATATCAAGAGTAAACAAAAGAGGTAAAATGTGAAAGCATTTTCACCTTAAGTAGATTGCTCTGAGAGGCAGATACATATCTTTAATATTTTTTCCGGGAGGTGAAATTTCACTGTAGAAAAAAAAAAAATCCAAAAAATATAAAAACTAACACAAGATATAAGTAGGATTATATCAAATGAAGCATGGTTGCTCACAAATCAGTACCAAAGTAAAATTGTGTGATACTGGTAAATATTGTTCTGTAAAACTAGAAACTTTCACACATGGCATGCTTGTCTCTTTATTAAACCAGGATAATCCATTTATAGCAAGTATTCAATTATACATTACTCTTTATCTCCCTCAAATAAATACTTAATCATGTGATACTGTCCATGGTAATCTTACTTTGTGTTGAATTAATGAGGCTCTTCTATGTTTTCCTAAATTCTGTTTTGTAATAAATGTTTATAATTGATTTGTAATGTTTTGATGGAAACATAAATGATAAATTGAATTGAATTGAAATTACACATGATACCTTCAAGTAATATAAGGGGATGTGTGTCTGGACTTTTAACATATATAAAGCTATGACTTTTTACTTTGGATGAAACAAAAAGCATGCAACAAGTAGCACCAACTATCAAAAATATTTGTCATTCATAATAATTGTCCAACATTAGTCTAAAACAATTCTGAAATATTGCAATTAAATTACTGTTTGAAATCAATTAATTCTCTGGATGACCAACCTGTGCGTGTGGGTATCAAAAAGTGACCTACATGTAGATGCAGCATTGCATTAGAAGAGGTTTCATATAATATGTTCTTTGAAATGCGAGTCAGCATATATTTAATATGAAGGCTCTTATACGTTTATATGTAACTAATACAACTTCAGAGTGTATGTCGAGGTTATGCTTGCGACTCGCTTTTGTTGAACAACATGCATCGTGCATGTACCTGGTACATGTACGTATGAGGAATGTGCATTAGTGTAGGTATTTGCTTACTGGCCTAATAAACCAGCCATCCATTACCTCTAATTCCTCTTGTTGAATAGGAAGGTTTGCAAGGTCGGTGGACTCTGCGCCTTGTCAATTAGCTGGACCAAATAAAACTTCATGTACGTGTACATGTGGGCCTACACATTTCCATAAGGTATATAAAAAGGAACATTGATATGTAGAAGATTGTGCAAAGAGGCACATGCACACATTATCATATTGCATGTCACGATTTCCTGATCTACACAAGCCCACTGAACATTGTATACAGGTACATGTAAAATGCTGGCAGCTCTATCTCATAATTTGGATTTTTCTGCATAATTCTTTGTATGTATCTGCACCTTTTTCATTTTGTCTATGACAACTCAGTTGCTAAAACATGGGATATCTAACAGTTGAAATAGAGTGCAGTATATAAATGTTGTGTACTGGCTGAAATGTGATCAAGTGATGTACAGTGTAGAGTCATTTGTTGTAGTGTACGATCATGATGTCACTGGAATACACTCTATAACTATACATGTATTGTTGCATGGCATTGGTTACCAGAGTACATACATGTAATGTACTTCCTAGCGCATTCTCATTGTTTTTCATTGTTTTACTGGTATGTCCCTTTAAACGCAAGAGACAAGGGGAAAATCAGAATGGGTAAATGAAGTGAGGTACAAATGAGTAAAATACTAAATTTTTGTACCAGAAATATTGTATCATATCCTTCCATATTCACCTTAGAATTAAGAATCATTGGTTCATTTATAATATCAGTCATACTGAACTCCAGGTTGCAATATTTGTATAATAGAAACTTAGAAAGATTTAAGTAAATTACACACTGTAGTTTGTGCACCTACATTGTAGAAGTAATAACAATTGAACCGACATAATTGATTTCATCCTACTAAATGTTTGTGAATGCAGTAGATCTGTATTGTACTGTATGTGTGACAAAAATGCATTGGCCAATTTGAATGGTTCAAAGTGGTAGTACCTGTGAGTGGTAGGCAATTCATATCACATTTTATCAAAGGCATATAGTGGCCTGTCAGGCGTCAACAAAGTAAATTGTGCAAGCTTACAATTCATTAGATCCATGCAGTCACTAATTAGTCATCTTAATAGGGACCTTACAGAATTAATAGGCTGTGGAATTTCTGCTTCATGCATGGAGTGCGATAAGCTAATTATTGATACAGAAATTCCACACTATAATGAGAGCAACATGGACTACCGGTCTACAACGTTCTAACAGTGCATGCTACGTAAATGAGTTAAATAGGACCCTTTTAGATGTAGTGAATGATTACCGACTACTGTAACTATAGTTCACAATACATTAATAATTATCATAGAAAAGCAATTAGTCCCATGGAATTTCTATAGCAAGATTGAGTGTTTGAATTGTGATACTGATCCCCAAAGCGAAATCGAGATGAGATATTATCAAGCTGACCCAGAAATAGTACATATGAAGAGTGGTAGAAGTGAGGATAGACAAAAAGAGAGTCACTGAAAGCTGTGAACACCGATACAAAATGATGTGCTTTTAACCAAATTCATGTACCACCATAAGTTGTAGCAAGTTTGAAATAGTAATACCACATAGATATGAAAATGTTGGAGGGAATTGCCATTCATTCGTTCTTGCTGTTGTTCTTGTGTTTCCGATTTAGATAACTGATTCCCATCATGGTAGATCAGGTTCCGCCCCTAGTAACCACATCCTGGTTGTCTCAGCACCTGGACTCCAAGATGGAACCCTTGGTCATCCTTGATGCCACCTGGAACCCACGAGGCAAATCAGGCAACGAGGAACACCAAGAGCAGCATATTCCTGGCAGCCTCTACTTCAATCTGGATGAATGCAAAGACAAGGAATCACACTTCAAAGTCACCCTTCCACGTCTAAACGAATTTGAGGATTACGTCTCCAAGCTAGGAATTAGCAATGGAACACGCGTGGTGGTCTACGAGAATGACCCTCGCTACAAGGCAAAGACTTCTGCAAGGGTTTGGTGGATGTTCCGATATTTTGGACACAGCAAGGTCTCTGTTTTGGATGGTGGTCTTGAACAGTGGGTCAAAGATGGGTTACCAGTGACATCTGATAAGACAGAGGATCCTGTCAAGGCCATGTTCAAGGCCAATGTGCAGCTGCAACTACAAAAGACCTGTGATGAAGTTCTTGAGGATATGAAGGAAGGGTCAGTCCAGCTTGTGGACACTCGACCATCACATTGGTTTGATGGTACCAAGCCTAGCTTATGGCCAGGTAAGGAAATCTTTTAGAAAAAAATTATGGAAATTCTAGAGATTGTTAAAGACCGTCAATACTACTGGGCCAGAGGGGATTAGACCACACAGCGAGGTCACTGACAGGTGGCTATCTCATTTACTCAGCTCTCAACTAACATAAGAAAAAGAGGATCATAGGGGACCAACAGGCACTGATTGGGAAGTTTTCTATACAGAGGGAGCAAGTAGCTACAAGTAGGACAGTGGGGCTTTAAGTCTATAATGTCCACAAGACATACATGTAACTTAAAGACAATAATTGCTTCATACAAAGTAAAATTGTTATTTCTCCTTATGAATTTCCTCAGATCTCAGGCTCGGAACCATCCATGGAGCCAAACACATCAATTTTGAAGAATGCATGGACAAACATTCCACCAGATTGAGACCTGCTGATGAGCTCCAAGCACTCTTCACGTCAACTGGCATCGACCTCTCCAAGCCTGTAACGACCACCTGCAATGTCGGGGTTACTGCTTGCATCGTAGCGATGGCTGCGTTCCTACTGGGGAAGGAGGATGTGGCTGTCTTTGACGGGTCCTGGGATGAGTTCTCCCAAAAAGCACCTGATAATCTGGTCCACATTAACATATATAACAAAACCTGATGCTAGTAGTACCGTTGAGGTTCTTAAGTCTTTACAGATGTCACATAAACAATCTCCTGGTGCCAAATTGTATTTTTACCAAATGCTTCAAGATTATTTAACTGTTTCCTGAAAAAGATTAATCTATATCAGTGTTTAAATTCATACACCTAATCAAGACCAGAAATTAGTGATTTTGCAAAGCTAATGTGTTGTATAAAGCAATCCTTCCAAATTTTGTGCAGAATTGCACATGAGGCAAACATGTGACTCTGCAGAGAAGCAAAGAAAGCAACCAAAATGTTATACACACCCCTGTTGAGATAAATACAAAATATCAATGACAATTATTACATTTTTGTACATGTACATTGTAACCTTATAGGTTCCACCTAGTGTTCTAGTTTCAGAGTACAAGTACATACAGTATGATTTTGTAAGACAGTAATTTTTAAATTTTGTCTTATGTTGTTCATTAAACGTCACATTTAGCTTTCCTTTTCCCAAATTCTTCTCATTATTCCATCCTTTTCTTCATTGTTATTCAGGACCTAGATTCCTGCTTACAAACTCACCTGCCAAAACTCTCAAGGCTATTCTATTTTTTGTTGTTGACTTTTCCATTTTCTGTTATCTAATTGGTTAAACTTAAATTTGAACTTAAATTGTATTTAAGTATATTATGTAGCTCGATCATTGTAAGCGCCTTGAGCACCCTCTGGGTGGATATGTCGCGCTATAAAAATGTCTTTATTATTATTATTATTATTAAGATGTTTAAAATATTATTTTACTGAATGTTCTATAGTACAGAAAAATAAACTAAAGCACTACAAAACTTCAATTAAAAGACCTATATATCTTTATTCTGACTCTCATTTAGCTACTGACTTGGAGTTTGCTGTGACAGTTATTCTTATTTTTTGGCCGATGTTTGCCTGATTTAGGTTTCTGATTGACTGTTTGGTGGGTGATTCTCAGCTTGAATTTTGAAGCTTTCATAGTAAATGTGAAGTATAGAACAGGTACATGTATATGTGCACCAGCAAGCCAGCCATGAAGAGACTGGAGATAACAGCTTGGTTTCGATTGACATTCCAATAGCATAAATTACGTGAACAAAATATTGTGCTTTGAACAGCTAAAATCAAGCTGCAGTAATTCAGCCCTAGGGCTATTTTGTTCTTATTTTTTTTACAATGCAAAATTTATTTCATTTCTATAACTTGTTTCAATTAGATTTCTGAGAGAAAGCACTTTTTACACTCCAGTGACATTGAAGTTGCATAAATAAATTCAAGAGAAATGCCAAAGTTACTAGCCATTGTTCACCATTACAGGATACCCTTTTTTCAAATTTAAAGCATTATTTTTTCTAGACGAGGTAAATTACCTAGATGTGAACCAGGGAGAATAAACCATACATGTACCCTCAATCACAAACACTCTGCTTGAATGTATCAATGCATTATGTATTAATCAAAATTGAAATAACAAACAGACTAGCATTACATGGTGTCAGGAGTGGGATTCAAATGACAGAGTTTGGATCATCCGTTTATCAAGTGCTACAGTAATTATCAATACAACCTCATGATTTTAACATAAATAATTTGTTGTAAATGGAAATTTAGCTCTACATGCAAACAGGTTCACACAAAAAAGGATGCTCATAAAGAGAGCTAGTTAAAAGAACACTGGAAAAGAAGTTAAGATCATGAAGAATTCGTGAGAATTTTACCCTGTAAAATATTGTATGGTGCGAAGCTGAACTTACATCCAAACACGAAGTCTGTAATAATAGGATGGTGATGAAAGTCGAGTCTGCTTAACAGCTTTTTAAAATACCACATATAGATTAAGTCATAAACTCATACAACAGAGACCCAGACCTAACTCGGGTTTATGACCAAAACAACTCTAACATTCAAACATGAACATGGTCCTAGTCTCCAAATAGGCTTTGGCAATAGTTTAACCTGCTTGCCATCATGAAAACGCACCACATAGATTAAGTCATAAACTCATACAACAGAGACCTAGAACAGACCTAGACCTAGATCTGAGGAAGACCAAAACAACTTACATCCAAACATGAACATGGTCCCACAGTCTGTGAAGAGGACGGTGATGACAGTCCAGGCTGCTTGCCAACTTGTTAACACACCACACAGCTGAAGACCCAGCATTATACATCCTAGACCTGCTGCTGATCTATCCAAATCTGAAAACAAGCCAGATAGAAATATATATATATACATCTCTTACAGACAGTAAAGAAGTTTGTGACTGATAAATATATATACCGGTATACATCTCTTACAGTAAAGAAGTTTGTTACTGATAAATATATATATATATATACATCTCTTACAGACAGTAAAGAAGTTTGTGACTGATAAATATATATATACATCTCTTACAGTAGAGAAGTTTGTGACTGATAAATAAATATATATGTACATCTCTTACAGTAAAGAAGTTTGTGACTGATAAATATATATATACATCTCTTACAGACAGTAAAGAAGTTTGTGACTGATAAATATATATATACATCTCTTACAGTAGAGAAGTTTGTGACTGATAAATAAATATATATGTACATCTCTTACAGGAAAGAAGTTTGTGACTGATAAATAAATATATATATATATATACATCTCTTAAAGGAAAGAAGTTTGTGGCTGATAAATATATACATCTCTTACAATAAAGAAGTTTGTGACTGATATGATTCCCCCAAGTGAAAAATATTCTCCAAAACGACAGTTTGATAAATTCATAGACAGAGTAATTGCCTAGTTAATTTGACATGAGTATAATGAGTTATTACATTTATAAGGAATAGGATAATAAATTAAACATAGAGTTGAAATATTCATTTTTGTGCAATGAATATATAGCATATTATGTTGGGTGTTTATCAAAACAGTTTGATAAATTCAGTCACAGAGAGTAACTGTCTGGTTAATATGATATGAGTTAGTATAAGGAATAGGATAATTAAAAATAAGAGCTGAAATGTTCTTCATCTTGCAATTCATATAATGTATGGCATACATGTATATATCATCTGTTCAGAGCCAAACGAACGCTAACTCTCTGTTAAAGTATTAGTTAACGTCCTTCTGGCTCTTAAGGGACCACATGAAACACATGTATATAAGAGAGCAAGCTGAAGGTTAAAATATTTAATAGAAAATATATGCAGATAATTCTCTTCATCTACTTTGCCATATAAACTGTTGTGTGGAGTGTATCAACATTTTCTTGTTTAGCTAATCAGTCTTTTCTCTTCTATGCTCATTTTTATTGGAGAAGTCATTTCTATTATCAATATCTTGAATACACATGATGTCATTCAAATAAACCTAACCATATCATACATATCACTGATTCACTTTCTCATGCAGAATTAATCAACAACTATCTGGGCTCCAAAAATACATTTCTCCATCCACCTTGAAAATTTTTCTTTGTTTTTGTCTGCATGCAGTCCTACGTGTATATATTTTTGTCATTCTCATTTGGAAAGAGATAGCAAGATAATAAATGTAATCAGATTATCTTATTAACTCTGCATGAGAATTCATAAATATTGTATATTTTTTACTTTCCAATACACATAGAAAAGAAATCATCACAACAGGAGAAAAAATATTAAATTATTCTGCTGGAAAATTCAGTTTCTTGTGTTTAAAAACTAAGTAAAGGGTTTATTATTTGATCATGGGAAAAGACCTTCAAAACTGTACGTAAACAGTAACTTTGAGAATATAATAATATAATAATAAATATTCTAGCTATTTCTCCAGAACCCTAGAATATTAGAAACAAGCTATAACTTAAAGATAAATTTGAGTTCTGGTCACGCGATTGCATTGTGAAAGAAACAGTGTGGAATCGATCAGAAAAAGTTGATCATGTACATGTAGCATAGAAGTATTGGTGTGTACTGCAAGGTTCTGGAGTCATCAACATGCTAAGAAATTTGACCCAGTCTTGGTAAGGTAACAAGGGCTATACACAGAAAAATGGGACTACACAAACATGTTGCATAAAAATTGGGCCTCATCTTTAAACAGTTACTTGTCATATTAATAAAATACAAAGGTATTTGAAGAGTAATGCTTTTAAGGGAACATTTTCTCTCTGATGTTCTTCCACAGTTGCATATAATAACAATGATAATGCTCACACATTATTTTTTTACCTCTCCCCAGAACTCAATCTTCTCTTTAAGTCAAGCAATAAATTTAGCACATAATTTATATACTTACAGTATAATGTTCTGTAATAGCCCACGCCAGGAAGCTCACGAATTGGTTTTTGTGTAAAATTATATGTTACACATTTGACTACAACTGTAAGGAATATAAACAGAAAAGAAAAAGGAAAAACAATTAATTAGTCATGAAGTTCATTTCATGATACAGTAATACATTACATGTAGGTATCAAAAAATTTATCATTAAAATTAACAGTTACTGACAAAAATAGTATCAAAATGTCTTTAATTCTCTTAAAGATGTAAGAGCTCTGATATACATGTATAAACATATATTGTGAGATGGATATTGGGGAAGATAAATGTTTCTCTATTCCTTTTTTCCTTCTCATCTTCCACTTTTTCTCTTTCTCTCACTACAGGTACTTTTTTCTCTCCATTAGTATGCCTAGAGCTCTCTCTTTGTCTGCCACTGTCTTTGTTATTTTTGTCTGTCTGTCTCTGTCTTTCTCTGTAACTGTCTGTTATCTTTGTATGTCTGTCTTTCTGTATGTCTGTCTCTGTCTCTTTCTTTCTCTGCCACTGTCTGTTATCTTTGTCTGTCTGTCTTTCTGTATGTCTGTCTCTGTCTCTTTCTTTCTCTGCCACTGTCTGTTATCTTTGTCTGTCTCTCTCTCTTTCTCTGCCACCGTCTTGGTATCTGTGTCTGTATGTCTGTCTTTCTCTTTTTCTATGCCACTGTCTGTTATCTCTGTCTGTCTGTCCGTCTCTTTCTCTACCACTGTCTCTTATCTTTGTCTGTCTGTCTGTCTGTCTGTGTCTCTCTCTCTTTCTTTATCTGTCACTGTATGTTATCTTTGTCTGTCTGTTTCTTTCTCTGCCACTGTCTGTCATCTTTTTCTGTCTGTCTCTCTCTATCTTTCTCTGCCACTGTCTGTCATCTTTTTCTGTCTGTCTCTCTCTATCTTTCTCTGCCACTGTCTGTCATCTTTTTCTGTCTTGTCTCTCTCTTTCTTTCTCTGCCACTGTCTGTCTCTCTGTCTCTCTCTTTCTCTGCCACTGTCTTGTTATCTGTGTCTGTATGTCTCTTTTTCTATGCCACTGTCTGTTATCTCTGTCTGTCTGTCTGTCTCTTTCTCTGCCACTGTCTCTTATCTTTGTCTGTCTGTTTGTCTGTCTGTTTGTCTATCTGTTTGTGTGACTGACTCAATCTCTCTATCTCTCTCTCTTGCTCTCTCTCTATCTTTCTCTCTCTGTAATCTGTATGTCACTCTTTCTATCTAGATTTATTCAAAGTTCAGGAAACCAATTTTGCGTGGTTGCCATGGTATTTGGTAATGGTGTACATGTACAATGACTGCCTTGGTACAATTTTAGTAACTGACCTTCAGATCACAGTTTTCATTTTCCACATTCATTACAAAAAAGGTATACACACAGATGACTTTTCCAGATGACTAGCTACTGTACTTCCACTAGTGTCTTTGCTTGGTACATGTACATGTACAGTACAGTGTATATCTTTTAAAAGCATTTGAGTGTTTCCAGAAGATATAAATGTTTTTCTGACTGAAATGTATGTCCTGCATAATTTCTCAACATGCCATTTGTAATATGTAGATGATGGAATGTACAGCAGTACAGGGTACATTTCATAACCCCATGAAATACAGTACATGTATTCAACAACTGAGCTTTGAAGTTCATCCTTAAAGTGATTTTCCCCCCAATATATCACATCTGTTGATACATCAGTCCTTTTCAAGCTTGTGAAACAGTGTATCATTGTTACATACAAGTCATGTACATATTCATTTTTCATTTAACCACAGAATAACATTATAAGAAAAGATTTTTCTACAAATCTTTTGAAACTCACACGGAAGCATACATGTAAAGCAGTATTGGGATATGATAGAAAAAACAAAATGTGAACCATAATATAAAATATAATGAGGTGATAGTCATACTTTTATCTAGCGCAATCAACTCAAACATGTCACACTTTGTTTAAGTCTGTATCATTAGTCTGCTTGAGATGTATGTAGAAAAGATTTTTCAACAGATGTTTTGAAACTGTCACAGAAGCATACATGTACATGTAAAGCAATATTGGGATATGATAGAAAAATCCAAATGTGAATCATTATACAAAATAAAATGAGGTGATAGTCATACTTTTATCTAGAGCAATCAACTCAAACATGTCAGACGTTGTTTAAGTCTATATATCATTAGTCTGCTTGCAGATGTAGTACATGTATTTAAACAATTACTGTAATTCAGTCATGAATAAACAAGAATCCCTTCAATACAAAATATATTTCTCTTTTTGATTTCATGACTTTCATCACTTTGTTTGTTCTTTTCATTTCAAAATTACATTAACTTGTATCATAAGCAGGTCGAGTGCACAGGTTTAATGCATCTTCACATGTATCAACTCCAGGTGTATGGACCCCTTTGATGGTAAAGAAATACTACTTCGTTTTTTATTATCAACACGAAATACGATGTATACATAAACACACAGTGCAGCTCGATGGGAATAATCAATGATGGACATCTGTCTACTATCCAGATCTATTCATCTCTATCAGGCAACAATGTGTTGTACTGGTGTATATCTACAAGCAGACTATTTCTCTTTCTTCTATTCATTTTAATAATCTAAACCCTACCATGTAACAATAATTGATTTTTATTTGAAACTGCAAGGTGTTACATGTATATGCAAATGGCCGATTACGTACATGTACATTTAGTAGCTATAATATTATACGTCATACAGTATGTTTGCTCCGGGGAATAGATGAAACAATAAACAGTTTTGTTGTGTGTATAAAAACTAATGGTCACCTTTTGCCGGGCTTGTGTTCAACTTTACAAATTGGTATATCTTTTTCTGTTTTCTTCTTGAAACCCTGAATAACCAACCACAAAACAGAAGTTCTTGCACATCTACACACATCATTTACAACAGACTTTGCTTTTAATAATCACATTCTTGCTGAAAATGTATTATACCGGTACATGTTTAAAATGTGATGTTTGACCTGTTTTATTTGGTATGCAAGATGAAATCATTTTTTTAATTGAATTAAAATTTGAAAACATGTATTATTTGCTTTCATTCTCATTCCTCTTCTACAAGTGATTTTAGATTCTTTCCTAATTATCCTAAATATGAAATATAAATTGATCAATTCACATGAAGGAATAATCATAAAAATCCGTCATTTTCATACGGCCAATTATCTATCTGAAACGTACATCGATCTACACACGGTTTGTTGTGCGATGTACTATGTAAACAGTATCAACACGCAGGCGATAGGGGGATATTGAAAGGCTAGCTGTTCAAATTGAGTACACAACACTGTACAGCGGCCCGACAATAGCCTTCATCGATGTACACGGCTGACTATCCACTGGACGGTTGGTTACCCGTTAATACAAACACTACCAGCGTACCGGCACATCCTGCCTGTGCGTGGATTATTAATGGGGGGAGAATGTGATGGTACAGCGAGCGTGTCATCCGACGAGCTCCTACCACTTAGATTCATTCTTTTCCTCGTCTCTATCTGCGTGTGAGCCGAGATCAGACCATTGCATAATCTCATTCTCCTCTTTTCAGAGAATATTTTAGGCCTGCACTGGTGTAATTTTAAATCTGATTTTCAAGTACCGGTAGAATTCAGGATGTATAGTATGCAGAACCATGCCCTACATGTACATGTATGTTTTGATGAGCAAAATGAGTATGATAGATGTTGCCTACATCAGAGTTAATTATGTAATCTCATGAAGATGATGACATGTTCCATTCTGTAGTATATGATGCATGGTACTAAATGTAAGCACAAAACTGGAGGGTTTGTCTTAACCATGATACATGTATGAAACATTGTGCTCTAGAGGCACTAGAAGAGTAAAACAAAAGTATACACAATCTTGATATTTAATGAGCAGATTATATTGCAATACAACTTTTAAAGGGAATAGTTTTTATTCCTGGCCTCTTTTAAATTTTAAAGACAAGTACATGTATACAGTGTACAATACATGTACATGTACATTTGTACATTGTTCTTGTAAGCTGATCAACGATTGATTTGAATTAATGTGATTCCTACATGGTATCTGAAAACATACAAAGTGTAATAGTGATAAGATTGGTTTTATATGATCTCCATGTTAATGGATACCATACATTTGATCTAATGCAATTAAAAATTCCTTCAATAAATCTTAGAAAATTGTTTGATCAACACTATGGCTTCATAATCATGTGTCAAATAGAATGATTACCACATCTCAATGATATCCTACAGTATCATTCAAGTTGTCCTCTTAAAAGTACATGACAGGCTACATGTACGACCTTCTCTATTCTAAACTTTTTTTTACCTGAACCTTTTAACAATTCCCTTTCTGAGGTCATAATAATTGAATATGAAACTGAACATGCAATGGATTTAATTTGGCTTTTTTTTCTTCCAATAATCTTCTGTAATATTGACTGAAATTCTGTAATATTATTGTTTCGCCATGAGCAATAAGTGCTGTGCAATTATAGTGTTACCTGTATTTATCACTAGCCCCAAATGGGTTTGTGAATTGGTAATTTTCCAGTTACTGGCTTCCAACAAAGAACCTCATTTACATATTGTCATGATAATGCACAATACATCATACCATGATGTATAGGTAATGGGTGTTATCCAATATCATTGAAATAGGTATACACATATATATCAACCAAGCATATAAAAAGTAGAGTCCTACACTGTAATTGATCTACACAAGTTTGTGAGCCTAATTCTTAAATGTTTATTCATCATTGAAAATAGTATTACTTACATGTACAGGCTGGTACTAAATGGCATTTAGTAAATTGTACACGTACTGTACATGTGTACATAGTTCTGACCACTGTGACTAGTACATTGCAGTATCCAATGGATTTGGTTCAAGGATTTGGGTCCATATACTCCTATTTGAAACCCATTTGATATAATACATGTACATTACATTCACACAGAAATGAATAAGTACAATAATGTACACATGTATACTTGTGCATGTATGTGTATCTTACATAAACATGTTCAAATAACTTAACAATGATGTACAGTGTATTGACAAATATTCTTTACTTTAAACATATACACCTGTATGTATATTTTTAAAAGGTATTCATGCTGACTGACTGCTGGTTGCCACCTTAATTGTTTAAGTCTTCAGAATCCCCACCCTCCCCTTTCTATAAAACTCTGGAGCCACCCCTGGTAGCCCCTGGTAGTATCATCCTCCATACAATGTTACTCATCTTCACACTCTCAGGCCATCCATCAATCATCGGCAAGTGCTACAGACAATCACCACCTCCATGATGATCATTGTCTTCATCAATCATCACAACTCGTAAACATTGGGGTTCAAATCGCAACATCTTTCTCCAGCCCATCCGCCCATGTGTGTCCACTATAATTGATGGATGGGTGGTGTTACAGCCAGTGACCTACTCTACATGTATCTCATGTCTATCTAGTCTCATCCCACTTCCATTCAGTGGCAGATTAAGAGGGAGGGGGGGGGGGGCATAAATGGCCAATGATGCATTCAAAAGCAAAATGTACTCCCCTCCCCCCCCCCCACAAGTGAAAATAAGATAACTCTGTTTTTTGCTTAACCAAGGTTGTTATTAAATGGTGTAAATTGTCACATCTGATATGTGATTTTTGTTTTGCATGTCAGATTTTGTTTATTGTGCCCTCTCATGTTCAGGGCTGGATGACCCCAACATTAAAATAAACCCCTGATTCAACATAAATTTTCATTTCTAGTACAATTGATGTAAATTCTTGCATATAATAATATACAAGTCTAGCAAAATCAGTCCCAAAAGCAGTTAATGATTAGCAGCACCCTTTGCATTTTGGGGTAATTTCTGTATGCAACATTTTACATGAAGTTGAAAACTTGAAATGGCTATTGATTAAAATAAGAGCAATTGCTAATTAAATGTACAAGTTACATTTTATTGCAGTAATTTTTTTCTTCCAGCCGACAAGAGTTTTATTTTAGATGTTTCCATAGCTAAAGTATCCTACACTCTTGTGAGCTTTTGAACTTCCTTGGTAGTACCAGCATCACCCATGCGTTGACCTGCATACATGTACATGTAATGACATAAATCTGTCAACATTTAACAACCACCAGCACCTTAGTTTTATCTAAATAATTACCCCAAACAAAAACAAATGATAAATTATTTTGGAGGCGACATATACTCCCTTCATTATCTGTCTGAAAGATTTGAGTTAGCTACTTTTCGGAGCTCAACACGATACTTCATAGTGACATTGTATTTGTAATATATAAATTGCTGAAAAATCATTTCAATACATTTTCAAACACATGAGCCTGAATTTATTAGCCTATAATTATGTAAATGCAATTTTAGCAGCATGCAGTTCATGAAAATGTATTAATACATGTAATCACCCACTTTCCCCTTTGAATTACTTTTATCCCAATATTTAACTGGGTCACTTTATCACCAAAACATACATGAAAATCGGATTTAGAATTACACCAGTGCAGGCCTAAAATATTCTCAGAAAAGAGGAGAATGAGATTATGGCAAGACAGAGCACCGGAAACTCAGGATTTGGGAAATCTTACCTTTCATCCATCATGATTGTCATGACAATGGTATTACAAATTATGATGATGATAGGTTGAAGATGATGATGACGATGATAATGATGATCATCACCATCATAATACATTAATGATAATTATAACAACAACAACAATAATAATAACAATACTGATATTAGAAAGATGATAATTACTGTACTTCAAAAATTAAAAATCAATATTTATTATTAGTTAGATTCTTCATGAAAGATGGAATATATAACATAATCACAAGATAAATTCATGGACATACATGTATCTTCATGTGCAGTGGCGTACGCAAGGGGGGGGGGGGTTTTAAAATCGGGTCCAAAATTTCGCAACGACTCAGGAAAATTTGAAAATCGCGCCGGCCAAAAAGTCGCTCAGTGGGGGGGGGGGGGGGGGGGGGGTAAGCGGACACTTTTTTTTGTTTTTTGGGGAGTCCAAAAAAAAATCGCAACGACTCAGCCAGCCGAAAAGTCGCTCAGTGGGGGGGGGGGGGGGGGGGGGGGGTAAGAGGACACTTTTCTTTTTTTTTTGGTCTCGAAATTTGAAAATTTGACATTTTGCTCCGTGGGGGGGGGGTAAGGTCACCTTTCTTAGGTCAGCCATGGGGGTAATAATTAAAAAAAAAAAAAAAAAAGAAAATCCAAAGGGGGGGGGGGGGGTTTTACGGATTTTTTAGGGGGGTTTACACACATAAAAATACCAAAGGGGGAGGGATTTAACCCCCCAAACACCCCCCTGAGTACGCGCCTGCTCATGTGTCATCTTTTGGAGCTTTCAATTTTTCTATCAAAAAAGAAAATAAGTCTAGAGCTGATACATTGACAAATCTCACTCTTTTAAATGTATTTGTTTGTTATTAATTCAATGTTATAACAAAAAAAAAATAAACAAACAAAACAAAAGCATCTGAAACGAAGAAGATAAAAAGGAGGGATTCATATTAAAGATTCTGTGCAAATCTGCACACCAATACTTACCATCGGAAGGGTTGAATCCTCCCTGGAAGTTATCAATGGATGAAGAAGGCACTTGTGTGGAAGATGTATTAGGTTCGTAATGATAACCACAATAACTAAACAATCCTCTTTTCTCTGGCAAAACCGGAATCTGATGTAATTCTAAAACCGTTTCATTGTAATAGTCTCTTATTAGGCTACGATTCCTCACTGTTGCCTCGAACCAATATTCAGTTCCTAGAGAGATTGCTTGTAATGTCAGAGACACTAATCCCGTAAAAAGTCCCAAAAGCAGAACCGCCGTTTTCCCCATTTTTCCTGCTTGTGGAGTCGGCACTGAGACAGGTGCATGGATGGTATGTGGGTTTTTTCACTAGCGCACAACGAACAGCTGAGCTAGCTCAAATGTACACGTTATGTACCGCCGAGCGAAGGTCCCGCTGTGTAATGGTATGTTGCTTTTCACGCTCTGTGTGGCATGTAGATTGCCAACAAAATCGATATGCTCATTGATTACGGTGCTTTTTGTACAGGGAAAGGGGATCAGTGAAGAGCCATCTAACGTTGATTTCGTATTACTCGCGCTGTAAGTCATTGGCAATACAGAGGGCGCCAGTTTCAAGAACGTTCTTTTCTTGCATTTAGAGTCGTAGGTCGTGCAGAATTTCGAGGCGCCGCTGCAGAAGTAGACGACGACGTTGAAATGGCCGATTCTTCCTCTTCGGGTGCATCTAAGAAGCGTTTTGCTATACCTTCAGCCAATGAAATTGAAGAATTTGAGAATTCCAAACCAAAGGTACTGTATAACACTTTTGATAATGACAAACACCTCATATTTTGATTTTAATATTATAAGCACAGTCCCATGCATTCACATTCATTGTGGGTAGCCTACTCACTACTGGTATGATGTGTGCTATGCTAGTATGCGTGTATATAACTTGTAAGATAAAGAATGAACATTTAGGTTATTCTCCCCTTCTTGGTGGTCGATATAGTGTATGTGTATAATTGGGTTTTTACAGACGTGTATCAATCAGATATGATTATTTAAGTCTGGGAACCGACTTTTAACGTCATCATCCGAAAGACGTGACTCGGTTTCGAACCACTCCAGCAAAGCATAGATAGTCAATGCCAATGCATATTGAGCTCTAGCACTGCATGCTTGCTGTGAGGCGGGTATTTTTAGACCCCATACACAAATACACACACCACACAATATTGCATAGACTGTACACAATCATGTCGATGCAGCTGTAAGCAAAGTTTGACACTAGACTTACAATTTGAATTTTTAAATTATTCTTTTTAACATCAGTAAGTTAAAAAAAATGTATTTTACTGCTATTTAGGTGTCATCAATTGTCACTAAAGTACCGATTTTTAGTGAAATCAGTTGAGTTTTGTACAGTGGTGTTTGAAATGTTGAGAATCAAAAGCACAGCTTTTACTACACAGCCAGGATAGTGATGCTCCTATGTGTGTTTCGAACCTGCGTCCTCGGCTGAATCAGTTTGTAACTTCCATTGTTAGCTGGATTACAGGCGCACTCCACAACGCCTAGTTATGAATTTTGACCACTAGTTTTAAATGGTGTGGAAGCTCATTGCATTTGCAAAGTTATGTTACAAAGATGTTGCATCACTATCGTCAGTTTCACTTTCAATTTTGTTTATTCAATTATAAAAAAATATATAACAAATAGTACATCAATTTATACACTGACACATGAATAATGTGTGTTGTTTACAATGCTATACAATATAACGTACAACAAGAATAAGAATATCATTTTCAACAATAACAACAGAAATCCAGAACAGAAGAAACTTTGATGGAATGGACTTTGATGCTTGCTAGGGCCATTTATTTTTATAGGGCTCTTGAATATATTTCTGTGATGAAATGACCTCGTAATCATATTGAAAATCATTTTTTTTCTTCCTAGATACCATCACGCTTCAGGTCAAAGAATGCAACCTCTCATGGTGGATCAAGCTCAGGGGTATCATCTGTACAACAAGGGTCCGTTACAAGTAACGCCACTTTTGCAACGTCCAGCTCTCGTTTTTCTAGTTCATCGGGTCATGAACCATTCTCCAGGCAGAAGGATGCCAAAGGCGGACCAGCCAGTGTAGGTGTGTCAAGAACAGAACAAGATGAGACAAGTAGAACAGTCCAAGGCAGGTCTGCATCAATAACGGGCCAGACAGCAATGTCCAGTGAAAGTGCAGAGGCGATGAGGACTAGTCTTGAGCTGAGAAAACAAAGAGCTGATGAGGCACTAAGGGAGAGACTGGAAGCAGGGGCTGCTGCTCCCACACTCCAAAGGCCAAGGGCTGTGGAGGCACCAAGGGGCAGACTGGAGGAAGCGTCAAATGCCACCACCTCAAATACCACATCTGCAAGTTCTGCAGGAGGAGGCAGAAATCCTGCGGCATCCAATCCATACAGACTACCACAAGCATCTGAAATTGCCAGGAGGGGAAAGATCGGTTCTTCATTTGCAAGCAAGTTCCACATGCTTGGTACTGCAGAAGAGTATAAGATTCCACAGGCAGCGGTAAAGCAGTGAGTTATAATTCTCCTTGAAAACCCTTGGGATCAAAGTGGGATGTAACATTTAGAAAAACATGAGATATAAGTAGGTTTATGATTCATTTTTGTATAAACTACCATCAGTCCTTGATTTACTTTTCATTTTTCATCCACACTATCAAACTCCTATCCATCACAGTGTTACACCAAGATTACAAATATTTATCACAAACTAAGATTCAATGAGTACAGTTTTAGTTATGGTTCATTTTATTTTATTATGATTCAAATAGTTTTCTTTGGAATCAACACACAAGTCAAGTAAGTGGCCTTTTGTCATTTTCAAGAAGACAAACAAATTGTCATAGTCCACAAATATAAGATACACTTATAAATTATACAAAATTATTAAATATAATGTAAAAATGTAAAAAATGGTATGTTTAATGTAAATAAAATAATATTGAGGAAAGTCTTACGGTATTTGCGTTGAAATTTTAATCTTTGCAGATCCACATCAGATTCTGCTGTGCCTGGTACCTCAGCTGGCGTAAACAAAGCTCCATCAGGGAATAGTGTGATTGTTAATCCAAGGCAGGTCAGTAGAATCTATTATATACCTCACTTTAAAAATCCAGCCATCTAATTGGTTGAAATTGGAGTCGTAATTTTAGCCATTCCCGTAAAATGCCAAAACCGGTCAATAGTCTTTTGAAAAATGCCCTAGGGCACTTTTCAAAAGACTATTGACCGGTTTTGGCATTTTACGTATATACGTGCAATCTCAATGAGAGGGATTTTAGCACACAGACTTGAGTGGTGCGCGATCAGACACCCTATTAAGACTAGGTCTCGATAGCGTAAACAAACTTGATTACCATGATTGGTAAGTCGCACATGTATTCTATGACCCTTTTCGGTATATAAAAGTTATAATAACTGCTTTAATATTCGAGGCATAGTTGTTTTTATACGCTCAAGGGGAGGTTACATGATTGTGCTATCAACCCTCAGCACGCCTCGGGGCGATAGCACGATCATGTAACCTCCCCTTGAGCGTATAAAAACAGCTATGTCTCTCATAGCAGTCATTATTACTATACTAAATATTCATTGTTTTGGTGTATGCAAATATTTCCAATACCTAAAGTTCCTATTCTTTTAGTTTTGTGTTTGTTTCTTTTCTTCTCATTATTTGTGAATATAGTAGGTCATCGCTCCTCTCTACCTCACCCCCGTTGAAAAACTAGAGTTAGTGGCGTTGAGTGAAATATATGTGCTTAAAAGGTTTTGTTGACCGTGCTTTAGTGGCTCTTTTTATCATCTGAGCAGAGACATTACAGTATAATATAAACATGACATAATTATTGTGAACTACAAACAATCACTGAACTTGATGTCATTTTGTTTTATCATCTCTCCATCTCTTTCAGAGGGGCAATCCAATCCTGAAGCACGTCCGGAATGTTCCTTGGGAGTTTGGTGATATAGTCCCGGACTATGTTATGGGAAGAACTACATGTGCCTTCTATCTCAGGTTGGTATTGGTCAGACTTTTGAAAAATCTAGTGAAGTGATAATCTTTTGAGTTTTAACATGGTCATTGATGTTTATAAAAGAAATGTATAATCCACATATAATTTTGGATGTTGATACCATTAAAGATAAAGACCAGTTATGGTCATGCGATTGCATTGCGAAAGAAACGTTGTGGAATCGATCAGAAAAGGTTGATCATCTAGCATATAAGTATTGGTGTGTACTGCAAGGTTCTGGAATCATCAAAATGATAAGAAATTTAGCCCAGTCTTGGTAAAGTTACAAGCACTGTACACAGAAAGATGTATGTAGGACTACGTGACACCTGCGTTATATCTATCAGGTCCAAATAGATATAATAATGTACCGAATATATCAATTGGTAGGTGGTTTCTCGGCAAAATTTGTATGATCACGTATTGGTCAAAACATATTCTTTCACATGATTGGTAATAAGAGCTTCCATTTCATTTTTTGAGAGGGGGTGTTTCCAAAACTGGTCTTTACCTTTAACATTTTTCAGTTCAAGCAAACATTTACCTACTGCATGCAGCCTATTGTTCAAGTGATGAAAAATTGCTCAAGCAACTACCCCCTTGCTATGAACATAGAAATGTGAGATTTATCATTTATTTAAAAGTTTTGATTGATATGATATTAGTCGTTTTGTATTTTCTGACTACCCTTTTTGCGATCAAATTACCATTAGTAAATAGTGCACAAAATGTCTTAGGTGTAAGATAAGGCTTTAAACACTAAGCTTAAAATGAGTCTACAAGCATATTGTTGTAGGACCTCTGTAAAATATACCAGTACCTTTTTTTCCCCTTTCTCTGTAGTTTGCGTTATCACAATCTCAACCCAAACTACATCAGTGACCGGCTGACGGAACTAGGTCACAAGTTTGATCTGAGGGTCCTTCTTGTTCAGGTGGATGTGGTAAGTTATATTGCTGCTAAACATTGCCACAATAAATGCATTGATTGAAAGCTTTCTAAATTCTGTGAACATAAATGATTGAATTATAACTTTTATTCTTAAATACATGGCACGGTTCAAATCTAGAAGCTCTTCTTCACTTGGAGAGAGACCAGAAGATTTTATGTATTTATAAGGATATTTCTTTCTTTTTATTGAGACCGTGCCATCTTTCCTTCTGATTCTCTCCTATAGAAAGATCCTCATCATTCAGTCAAGGAACTTGCCAGGCTAGCAATACTATCAGATTGCACACTCATGCTGGCATGGAAGTAAGTATCTGAAAGTCGTTGAAATGTCTCTCCCAATTGCTCCTTCAAACATGACTATTTAGGGGAAAAGAAATAAATATTGATTTTGAATATTCTCTTTTAACATGATGCTCCGTATACAAAGCTCCTATGATTATAGAGTATTTTATACAACACCTACGTGGATCCTTGTCATTTGATTGGACGATTGTTGGTCACATGATATTCAATAGATGGTATATTGCACGGTCGTGCATTTTTGGTTATATGCGCCGTGCATTTTTGGTTATATGCAGACTGCGTACCTCTCTGCTGCATGTGCGCGCGCGTATCCCTGCGTGTATCTGACGCGAAGGCAATCTGCATGTAATTGAGAAGGCTTGACTCGAACTGTAATTTATCTTTATAAGGAGTAAAGCATAATTTGTTGATTAACGTTCTATTAGGTCTTCTTCGATGTTGTATAAAACAAATAATGAATGTTTTTCATTCGTTTAATAGTGCAAATATTTTCATTCGTTGAAAGATTAACGTTAATTCTATTCAACTCGGCTGACGCCTCGTTGAATAGAATGTTAATCTTTCAACTCATGAACATATTCGCACTATTGAACTCATAACCATTCATTATTTGTATAATATCATCAAAGATTAAAAAGTAGGAGGTGGATTTGGAGAGCAATCATTTTCGATATTTGTCAATGGACGTTTATTTCGTTTATTTCCAACAATTTACTGGCCATATGTTTATACGAATGTGTCCCAGAAAGTATAATTTGGTCAGTTTTTATTATTCTGGTAACCATTACTCATGATATCCTGTCCTCTCTTTTTATCTCTTCCTTTGCGTTTCATGCATCTCAGTGCTGAGGAAGCAGGGAGATATATAGAGACATATAAAGCATATGAGAACAAACCAGTAGATGCCTTGAAAGAGAAAGTTGAACAGAACCATCTATCAAAGGTAAAGATATGGTACAAGCTAGGTGCAAATTGACAATCAGCCATGCATTAAGTCTTTCGTCTATGTCTGATCGTCAACGAAACAGAGTTACGGCAGACAGCCAGTGAAAAAAAATTTGTTTAATCAAATTATGGAAATGCAAGCACGTTATTCCTGGCTCATTTTTCCTGATTGAGGTGTCATATGAAAGAGCAGAAAATGAACTTTCTAGAAATGTGAATTTTTCTTTGAAATTAAGATACCGCCCACCAATCGACTTTTGGTTTCCTTCCTTCCTTCCTTTTAATCACTCATGCGTGAAATATGCATCATATGAGTTGCATCAAATGAAAGAGGAGGATCTAAGCTTTACAAATATGTGTCATTTATTAATTATAATTGTGATTAAGTTATGATAAAACATCGATAATTCTCGGTTTCGTTTTTTTCTGGGTCCCACTGCTTTGTAATAGAAATTGCATTCTTGCATTTTAATCATATCTGGAATTGATGATCTGACATTAATACCCAGGGTCTCAAAAGAAATTGAATATTGAATACCAGGGCCCCCTTGTAAAGCAGGCCTTGTGGCACTGAATGGGTCTACCCTGTGTTTTTAAAGAAGACTGAATAAATAAATAAATATGATTAAATGTCTGACCAAATAGTTATGATATAAATTTCTTCTTCTTCTTTACTTTTTTAGATGACGGATTGTCTCACTACAGTCAAGTCAGTGAACAAGACAGATGTTATTACACTGCTAGCTAACTGCGGGGTAAGTATATGTATATCTGTAATTTCAAAGGAATTTGCCAAAGAGGGCAATATATCTGCTTTGTATTTCAGACTCAAGTATAGCAATCAACATTGTCATGTTAAGATCTGAAAGTATTACTTTTGTAGATGAAGTGTAGTGCAAGGATTGAAGGCAAGAATTCTGAATCTATAGAACATTTATTTTGGGATTGCCCAATAATTAGAAGGTTTATTGCGGATGTCCAACATTTCATTTTATGGAAACGTTGGAGTTCAATTTAATTTTATTATTTTATATGCCAAATACTATATATTTTCCAACGAATACAAAAATAGCATACTATCACTAAATTCTTTTAAATGCATGTTAAGGTATTATCGTTCTCTTGAACAGTACATTTATGTTAAAAATTAAAAATTTGTATCTTTTGATAATAGGTGGAAAAACATTTTGTTGCTTTAAAAATTAAAAAAAAACACCATTTCCTGTATAATCAGCTATATTCTTGTTATTGGTTCTATTGGTTATATTATGTATGTATATATACCGTATATATGTTTTGTTGTGTTTTGCAAAGTCAAAAGCAATATTGAATAAAGATGATTTTATTAAAGGAAAAAAAAAAGGATTCATTCCTTATGATTTAAACAATCCTTGATGAATTTTCTCAATATGTTGAAGATTTTATTGGCTTCTTTATTTCAGACATTTGAGAAGATAGTGGAATCAAGCAAAGAAGAGCTGGCTTTGTTGCCAGGGTTCGGGCCCCAAAAGGTGAGCTAAGTTTTATAGTAATAGTTATTGAAAAAGATTATTATTAATGATATCAGTAACAAAATATCAACAAAAAACAAAAAAAACAGCCTACGATTTGTGCTGACAGCCTATCGAGAATCGCCACAAATTGTGCAAAAATAATGCAGTGAAAAATGGCTTTTCCTTTTTCTTTCTTTTTGTTTTGTTTTGGATTATTAATGTGAATAGATTTTGGCCATGTGGTGTCATCAGAATCTTTGAAAATTGATGTGATGAAGTTTGTAAGTAATGTGAGAGTTGATTTGATTTGATTTTTTATTTGTGTTCATTCATTTTGTTATAAATTTGAGACTTCCAGAGCTTAGTAACTTGTCTTTTTTTGCTACTATATCCTCCTTTTTATCATCCACTTATCCACTTTGATTGACAGGCTGAGAGACTTAGTAGCATCTTCACCGAGCCCTTCTTACGGAGGAACAAAAGAAGAATAGTCCAGACGGAGAAAGATGAAGATGGAGAGGGCTGAGGAAAAGGCAATCTTCACGGTGCTTTACAAAATAATGCAAAGTCTGTGCATATAGTGTATTGGTGCAGAAGTGATCTACCTTTGGACCGGGAAGATAGATTGTCGCAGAAAACTCTAGTGTAGTGTCATAGAATGTACATGCACTTTGATTGTAAGGGCCCATATTGTGTATCTAGACGTAGGCCTTGTAGATGATGGGATGGACATTATACAGTCATGAAGTAATCAGAGGTCATTAATTTCAATAGATTCGAAATGCCTTCTTTTGCTACTGCGGGAATCTCACCTAGTGAAGTATTACTAGGGGGTGCTTTACAAAGACTAAGATCGACTGTAAGTTTGACATAATAATGGCAGGCTGCCTGTTGCTCTCACCATTATGATCTTTAGACAATATTTTTTCCTTCAATAATGAATTATAAGTTCTGTAGATTTGTGACCATAATTGGAACGTCCCTTGAGAGACCAATGCCAGTAAATGGTGAGAGCAAACAGTGGCATGAACGGCCTGCCATAGTTAAGTCCAACTTAAAGTTGATCTTAGTCTTTGTGAAACACCCCTAGGTGTATCGTTAGAAGTGACGTCCACTTTTAATCTTGCACTGGACTCGACTCTCGTTCTCTGGACCTTCATTATTTTAACTCTAGAAGCAAGACCAAAGTTCTTTCAGTTCCTTGGGGGACTCCAATATGAGCAGCTTCATTATGAGACTGGTTTCTAATGACCTTAGAAATATTTGTATAAACTAGATGAAACTTATCCAAGATGCATGTATTGAAATTATTAAGCACAAACATTAAAGCCCTCTGTACTAGTTTGGCCATGAGGAATCATACCACCCAGCTGGTCACTGCAAAGGTGGCTATCGCATCAACTCAGCTCCCAATTAACGTAAGAAAAAGAAGATTATGGGGGACAGAGAGGCACAGCTTAGGCATTGTTTTCTGTATAGAGGGAGCAAGTAGCTACAAGTAGTACAGTGGGGCTTTAAAGTAGGGTCAGCTTGTTGCACACTTCAAATATTAAACTTTCAGATGCTAGTAAAAAGAGCCCCTTTTAATTCTTCACATTGTACTCCTGACAAGTTTCATAGAAAAATGATTTTAAAAAAAGTATTTTAATACAGGTAGTAATATTTTGGGCTAACAGGTTGCATTTGGAATTAGTTTGTTCTCTTAGCAATCTAGGCTTCTACTCTTTGACCCAAGTTTGTGAAATACATTCAATAAAATCTTCTAACACCAATGTAGACAGTGGAAATTACCTTGTTCTATCAAGGCAAAACAATAGAATGTAAAGAAATCTTTGTGATAGGGTGCCACTGTACCAAATGAGAAGAAATACCTTTCAAAGTATACATATAAGTTGGAGAAAGGAATTTGTAGAAAAGAAAGTAATGATGATAAATGCTATCTATTCTTGCATGTATTAAAGCAAAAGACAATTTGTAAATCCAGTTATTAATGTGGATTGTATTTATCTTTTTCATAATTTTTCTGAAAAATGAAATAAGAACGCTTACCAAAAGTGAAACCTTTAATTCTATGTTATGTGTAACATTCAATGTGCAATGACGTACCGTACCAATCATTCATTCGTTTTGTATGTAGAGTACTTAAATGTTATAATGAGTACAAATTTGTTATAAATGTATAATTGAAAACATCAAATATTAAACAATTTTCTACACATTGATTTGAGCATTGTACCTGTTTACATTGATTGTTGTGTGCCAATGTATGTCTGCTTTGGATAGATATGTGTATGAAGTGTATTTCTCTTGCTAGATGTATTGCCTGAAGACTTTTCCCCCAGATATCTCGCAGTGAATTTTTCGTGGGAAAAAAAGTGGAAGTACTTGTACCAAAGAAGCTTACCTGGATAAGTTCACCCTCTACGGACTATGTCAAAACATGTTATTAAGAACATTCAAGCTTATACAGTGTAGGCTCGATTTCGCAAAGATTGAATTAAAACCATGGTCTAAACTTCCAACATTGACTAAACTAAGCGTATAATCCCAAGCGTTTTATTGACCAGTGGACACGAGCATACTGCACTTGGATTTAAACCATGGATTAAGAGAAATCTTTGTGAATTCAGGCCATCTTATCTAACTTTCCCTTGAAGTCTAATCATAACGATCATCAGCATTATCATTATAATTACCATCATCATCATAATCACAATAAACATCACCATTAGCATCACCATTACTTTTATCTTCACAATCATCACTACTGCTGCTATCAACATCACCGTTGCCATTGCATCATACCCAAGTTTATCTCTTTGCTACACCTTATTATCATATGATAAAATACAACACTTGGCTCAAAAGTTTCAAGATTTTCATGAATTTAATGAGCATCAGTTGGGTTTTTGTTTGTTTAAAGAAGAAAGAATGAGATGTGAGGTCACAGTGCAGATGGTAGAATGATGAGATATAGACAGAGACGGAGAGGAGAGGAGAGAGACAGACGCACAGACTGGAAAAGAAAGAGAGAAAACACAAATGAAAGTGAGAGAGGGTAGAGAAAAAATAAAAAAAGGCACGTACTTACTGATAGAGTAAATTCTCTGTAACATAAAATAACATCAACTATTCATATCTAGTTTTGTGAGTCCAGTGCTAACCCCATCACATTCTGTCGCAATATCTCTTTCGTCGCATATATGATCGTCTTCCTTCATACAAGTTCTCTGATCTGTAGACGTCTTGGATAATTCAGTTTCTACATTCATGCGTTCAACATTTTCCTGCCGGGCATTGGAGCCTTGCGCGGACGAGATATTCATTTCTTGCGAGCCGTCTCCGTTCATCAAGTCCGTATCCAAAATCTCTTCACAGCCACTTTCGCCAGACGACTCCAAATCCGGCATGTCATAGTTGCGCTGCTGAAGCAACTCCTCTGGCTCTTCTTCATCCTCTTCTTCTTCACTTTCCTCCTCCTCTGTCCTGACATCCTTGCCACCTTCTTCATCATCCCCATCATCAGAATCTTCTGCATCGTCCTCCTCAGAGGAAGGCATGTCGTAGTCTGGTTGCCGATTCATGTTGTACGTTGTCCTGCTCATGTCAATGTCCATAGGATCTAGGAATGAGGAAGATTACATGGGAAGATGGTAGTAATTTATCTGCATCCCAAATAAGCCTCAGTTTTATAACACATGAACTGGCAACAACCCAATTCCCAAGGTCAAAGTTAAAACCTGGACCAAATGTTATACCTAAACCTAACCCTAAACAAAATTACACCCTCAACCCCAAAGACCTATACCTTTGATTAAATAAATCCTGCACCACGTGTCGAAAGAGAGAGTGTAGTGTCACCTATGCCTCTCCCTCCCAACAAGCAAGACTTTTTTATGCTTACATGTATGTAACCATAAGTTTTCACAAGATCACTTGATCTATCTATCTAAAATCAAACATCAACTGAAATTTGAGAAAGTTAATGTTAATATTTTTAATAATTTACTATTCTTTTCATATTAAGTCTAATTTAGAGATAAGTTCAATTTAAGATCTTTGTGAAAAACCCCCTGGATTTTGAACTCACCAATTAGATTTCTTCTCTCCTTTTCCTGCTTGAGTTGTGTCATCCATCTCTGCTGGGCCTTGACCACGTCTGCACCATCCTTGCAGGCAGCGTAGTTGTTCAATAGCTCCCGGTTGATATCAATGAAGACTGGACCCCACTTGAACCGCTCCAGGAGACAAAGCGCATACTCCTGGAACCCTGTGAATTGACAGAAGACAGAATTTAGAATTACTACTAAGTGTTAAATCTAAATTATCCTTGTAAACAAAGAGCAGGACATCAATCAGCTCATAGTGGCCCGAATTCACAAAGCAAGGTTTGAGCTCAAACCTCCTTTTGTTTCGCCAAACCTCCTTTTGTTCTTTACAAACCAGGTTTGTAAAAAACGCGTAAAACGCGTCATATGACGTACGAAAACCAAGGTTTGTCGACAAACCTCCATTGTGAATTCGGGCCTTTATGTCTATGATCTTACTAAATTGGGTGACAAGAGTAATACTGAGGCTGGAGCCTCAAAAGCAATTTTGTAAAACAAGGAACATTGAATGCATCAAAAATGTTGAGAGTTTCACAAGTGGTATAGGTTGACAAAAGTTTAATGCTGCTAAAAGCGATTGAATTATAAAATTTGTATACAATTATACATGTAGGGAAAAAAAAAATGCCCTGGATTGAAATGAATGGCAAATGGCAATGTTATAGGGGTGAAAGTACAAAGATGTGTGTGAAAATGGCCCCAATACATACTCCATGATCTCATTGGTAAAAAAAAACCCACAGAAATGTGAAGTGCAATGATACTGTCTCATTCTATTTTGCATGGCTGTTCATTCAAAGTGGGTTATGGTGTCGCGCCTGAGTGAGCCTTGACAAAAACGTAGGCTGAGTGAATAATCAGAGATGGATCTTACCTGTTATATAGAGGGCAGCAGCCAGTGCTTCTACGCAGCTCAGCTGGCAAGGCTTCCCATAGTTGATTGGGTTGGCAGCCACCAAGTATGGCAGAAGACGTGGAAAACTCCCCCTCATCTTGGAGAAAGGTGTCTCGTCCAGTCTGGCCCATGAGCAGTCTATTACAGCCACGCCATGGTGCTCGACTATTGACCTGTTAATATCAAATAATGTTCAATCGACGTAGACTTATACACTCATTGTACGACATAATTATTCTGACAACAATGCTGCAGGTCTATTTCTAAAGGTAATAGAATTACTGGCTTCAGCCTTCAGCCTCAGCTAAAGCCAATGCTAACTCCAAAACCTAAACAAAGCCAAGAGCCCCAACCCCCCCCCCCCCCAGAAAATACAGCAACTGCAGACTGTCTGTAGCAAGAGCAAATATTAGATCGCTACAACTCCTTCACTCAAAAGTAAATATATTACTAGCAGCTTCAAGATGCTTATCTCTGATATCAGTAGAAGAAAGAAAGAAAGGCAAGGTTGCAAATAGTTCAACATCTTATGAAGTGCAGTATCATTGCTCTATGGAAATGTTGTGTATTCTTTCTGTATAAAATTCCATCAAAGGCCCATAAGGGTTAACACAGTTTTGGGGGAAAAGCTTACACTAAAATTTTGCTCTTACTATTGCTACTGCATCTATGAATCTAGTGTCTACTCTGATTTTCAATTTTTCAAACAGTTCAGTTTGCATTAATCAAGATTTTGGTTAATATTTTCTCTATCCATAATTAATTTGAACAAAGAGAAAAACTGAAAACTTACACATATATGATATACACTACAGCTGGGACATTAAATAACTTATCTGATCATAAGGATTTTAAAAAGAAGTAAGGTTTAGGCATCTAGATATCCAATATCTTAATGTTCAATTTGACAGTCATCAATTTTATTTTTTTTTTCAGAGGAAAGATACATAGATGAGGTCAAGGTTCATGCCTTTTAAAAATATTTTTGTTTACCTATCTTGGGGTGAGACACAGTTGGTACCCATTGGAGATAGGATGACCCCATCAAAGCGCTGAGAGAGCTTCAGGGTCCTTAGAAGACGCTTCCTGGCCAGCTTACGACCTGTACACTTCTTGGGGTCACAGTGCTGAAGGTCCCACATTGCCAGAGGAATGGGGATCTTGAGATGTTCTGGTTCTTCCTCGGCTTCGTCTCCTTCATGATTGGATGCCCCTGGTAGAGATGCTGAAAAAGATTCATTCAGAAAACAATAATGTTAATAACAATCTTGTCCGTCTTTTAAACCATTGACTACTGAATGATCATATTCCTCATAGGTTTAATACAAGAACCACAGGTTCCAGCAGGCAAAGGGTTAAAATCCTGACCGCTGCACATACATGCACAATATCATACGTTAGCAATAGCAATTAGGGTCATTTTTGCCCAACTAGCCGTTTTAAATCAGCTGTCCGATCACACATCTTGCCACGTCCAGACACCCGACCGTACGTCTGGGAATACTAGACAAGACATGACAAGTAACATCTATTCATTGCCAACATACAACAGCAACCTAGATTTTGATCGACTACAACAACACCAAACAAGTAGTTAGACAGACCTACCTCCTTCTTCAGGAGCACCTCCAATTTTAAAGAATTTGTGCTGTTTGCCATGATTCTGCTTTCCTCCTTTTCCATGTCCATGATCCTTTTTTCCTTGTCCCTTCTTCCGTCCCATGATGATAATAAAATCAAGATGAAGTTTACTTTCTTTCAAGGTGATTTTGGGGGGATATTAAAGTGATTGAACGTCTAAATTCCTGCACATAGCCTAGACCTACAGCACTGTTGTCCCACCGAATAATTCACGATCACGCAAGTTGCGGCGCGGTACTCCGATATCCAGTCGAGTCTAGTCCCACAGCTAGGGCAGGATCTCGGCTGAGCTCCCGCTGGCTGGTTGTGTAGAGAGTAGAGAGGATTCGTGACATCTCGGCCTCGGCCTTATAATACAATGTGTCAACTATACCCAGGGTCGAGGTTTTTATTTTTATTTTTACCGAGCAGGAACTTCGGCCGCTCCTATCATGCAGCGCAGGCTCCTTATCTAATATTAAGAGGCTATATAAGTTATAGCAATGACTTTTTGATAGATATGTTGTTTAAATGAATTTCAAAATTGGTTTATAATGGATTTAAAACTTTTATATAATGAATACAATAATAATAATAATAATAATAATAATTAACAACATTTGTATAGCGCTTATCACAAAATGTCTCTAAGCGCTTAAGAAAAATAGAAATAGAAGGAATTACAGCCAAATATTAAGTTATACATAATAGATAGTGGACAATCGAGGGGGCTGCATATGCAAATGAAAAAGGCTATTTAACAAAAAAGTAGGTTTTTAACATGGATTTGAATTTAATTGTCTGTTGAATCAAATGTGACCCCAAGGTTTCTAGCACCTGTTCAAGGTGTTTGACAAACACAAAAGAACCAGTGAAAGGAGGGTGCCAATGTTGAACCCTTTCATTGTGTTCAATGCTCCCCTTGGGTGGACCACAATAGACTGTAGTGAAGCTATGGCTCCCAGTCAATGCTATGCTACAGCTAATATACAGCCCAAAACTTGAAAAATTGAAACCAGAATATCACATCAAACCATGCAAAATTTTAGCTCCAAAATTGTCAAATGATGTCAGAAGATTAGTACAATAAGAATGGTAATAAACTTCAAAAGTGAAAGTTGCAAGAGCAGTGGGAGGTCAGCTGTGAGGCGCACTCACCACGGTGTTGCAAAAAAAACCCAAAAAAAACAAAAAAAAAAACAAGACTTGTAAGCTAGGCCAGCAGATCAAATTTTTCTATAAAATTATTATCACTTTGGAAAATTCAGTCAACTATCTTCAATTATTATTGTTTAGCTTTTATCTAAAAAAAATTCTATAAGGCTATCAATGAATTGTTAGAATGTTTGGGATGCTACTAATTGCGATGCTATGAAGTAGCACTGAGCTGAGAGAGAGTGAGAGAGGGAGAGGGAGAGAGAGAGAGAGAGAGAGAGAGAGAGAGGGAGAGAGAGGGGGGGGGGGACGCAATGAAAAAAAAACCCATCTTATTAAGAGGAAAAGACAATCCTGATGGGTATTAATCTAGTCGTCAGCTAGCTGCGCCCCGGTAGCCATATACCTTTAGCCACAGCCTGAAGCCATGTCCAATGTTGAGAGGCATTCAAGAGTCCCGTATTGCAAGGTTTAAAATGTTTTTACATCTCCTATTTTACTTTTGTCGTTATATATTCACTCTCTAAAGTCCCATTCTATCCTTTTTCCAGTCTGTAAACAACTTTGCAACATGAAAACAATGATGGACACTCACTGGATTTTACTTCTCATATAAAATCGCCCTCAACTTGCACGAGGTCAGAGGCGGCGCTCACTGGGGGGGGGGGGGTGGGAACAGTGTCCTCTCACTTTTTCAAGTACCTAAAAGTGCCCCTTTTTGCATAGGAAAAGTGCCCCTTTAACTTTGTAAGAAGTGCCCCTTTTTACATAGGAAAAGTGCCCCTTTTACTTTGACAAGTGCCCCTATTCATTTTCTAAAGTGCCCTTCTCCTTTCCACCTCTGAGAAAAACCTTTTCCATGTGCAACGCACTTGGTCTTAGGCTACTACCACACAAGTTATTTACATTTTTCTCTCATTTTGAAAGAATGGACATACACAAATATTATGAAATTCATCACCATCTGTTGGTGTACAGAGTGGGCATTGCAAATCATGTACTAAATCTATATCAAATCTACCTAACAGTGGCGGCTCCAGGAATTTCTTACCTGGGGGGGGGGGGGGGAGAGCACACAATCGCATGGGGTGAAACTGAAAAACGATTTAGCGAGGCGACAGCGGTGAGGGAGGGGAGCGACCAAGCGGTCGTGGATCTGGGAGGGAGTCAGAACTCCCTCGATCCCTGAGTATATAGGAAGCATTTGCAATTTTAAAACCAAACTAGCCACAAATTACCATCATATATATTCCAATGTCCCAATGTCTACAAATTTAACCCTATAAACCCGGGGTTAGGAACTAAGTTATTTTTCAGTCCCCCCCCCCCCTACCGCGCGAAGCGCGGAAGCTCTGACACCTCATTAAATTTTTAGAGAAAAAAGACGTGCTATGACGTTTCATTTAATCATTAAAGAAAGAAGACGATTCGTTGTAATGTTTTCGACTCTTCATCCCTGTCTGAAATCAGTTACCTCCCTCCCGCGCGAAGCGCAGAAGCTTTTACGTTTCATTAAATTATTATTCTCAATCCTCGTCTAAATTCCCTTTCGACCATACCGCTCGAAGCGCGGAAGCTTTCACGTTTCATTAAATTATTAGAGCAAGAAGATGGTTAGTTATACCGTTCTCGACCTTTAATTCTAGCCTAAATTCGGTTCCCCCTCCCGCGCACAGCGCGGAAGCTTTGACATTTCATTAAATTACTCTTAATCCTTGTCAGTTTTCCCCCTCCGGCAGAGGCTTTGACGATTCTTTAAATAATATTATGAGAAAAAAGACGATTCGTCGTACCGTTCTCTACTGTTAATCTTTGTCTGAATTCAGAAGCTTTGACGTTTCATTAAATTATTAGAGAAAGAAGACGATTCCTTTCTTTTTTAACTCACACAAATTATCTCTTTCCCCCTTTTTCCATCTCTTTTTTGGTTCTTCTTGTGCTTTTTTTGTGGGAGGGGGGGGGGGGGGACTACACGCCTGGCAAGAGGGGCCCCATATTATGCACACTGCAAAATTGCGTGCCCCCCGCCCCTTTCCCGTTGAAAAAAAACCTTCTTATAATATTATCCCCTTTCTTTCTTTTCCCTTCTCATTATTTTCCTTTTCCCACTTTTATATCCTCCGTCTTTCTCCCTTTCTTCCTTTTTCCGCATTTTCTCTCCGAGCTCTCTCTTCCCCTTTCTTCCTTTCCCCCTCCTTTTTCTTCTCTCCCCTTTTCTCCCCTCCCTCTTTTCTCCTTTTTTCTCTCTTACCTTTTTTTTTTCCCCTCCTTCTTTTACCGGGGGGGGGGGGCACGTGCCCCCTGTGCCCCCCAGGATCCGCCACTTGTTAATCTATTTGTTCTACATCTAAATTTACTTACTAAGTTTTTCCTAATTCCTTTTGACATAATATCTATGATATCATATTCACCAACTTATTCTTAAACATCCTATAGTTCGTGCAATTTGACCAGGTGAGCTGCGCAGCCTGCGCTCCGTTCCTGAATAGACATGTCAGAAATTAGCCTGATTTTCATAGTGTTCATAACCCGGTACCCCCACTCCGAGAACGGACGGACCCTATGCGTGTTGCCAAAATGTCCTTTTCGTAACAAAAGAAAAAGGTCGACCCGTATTGACTTTACACACCGGACTTCTGCTGAAAGGGGGGGGGGGGGGGGGGGGGTGCTGAAAAAGGCTCGTATACAAAAGAAAAAGGTCGAGCCGTATTGACTTTACACACCGGACTTTTGCTGAAAAGGGGGGGGGGGGGGTGGGTCGGTTGGAACACGCATATGCGTACCCTAAAAATAACTATGAGTGGGGGGGGGGGGACGGGGGGGGCCGGGGTTCATTATCATAATAAAAAACTGTCGAAACTCAACCCAATAATTGTGATTTGATATTAATTAAAGTTTGTCCTTCACTTTGTAACTGCAACAGAAACTTAAAAAGAATCAATGAATACTTTGATTGCTTCCCTTTAACTAATCTAACCCAATATCCAATCATTCTACACTTAATTTTATCGAGTATTTACCACGTCCAGTTTCACCATAAACCATGCAGTCAGGTGTGCACTTGTTTAATTACAAACAATATCGTTCTTAAAGGCTTTGAAAAACTTCAAGTTGAACTATACACCCATAGCCCCAGACCTTAGCACCATATAATAGAATTTGCAAAACTAACAGATCAAATAAATGACATTGTGTATCAACAGATAAATGCAACTTTTTGCCTTTACTATTAACATTACTAGCTTCAGCTTGTGTGACATACTTACCTTTACCTTTACGTTAATGACATGTTTAGCAATTGCTTTTTTAAAATTACCATTATAATTAAACATCACTCCTAAAAATACAAAGTCATAAACAACTTCCAGTTCACCATCATCATAAACGAATTATGGAATTCTTCTTGTTTTCCCACGTGAAAAAACAACAATTTTCGTTTTGCGGCTGTTCGTGTTTTCGTGTTTCGAGTTGATGTGTACATTCGAGGTCAGTGAACCCTAAAATCCCGTGATTGTGAGAAACACTGCCAATCTACTCTCTCACGCGAAGGAAAATCTTATGATAAACCTTAAATAAAATGTATTAATTTGTTTTAGTTGGTATTAATAGTTTTTTGTTACTTTTAAATTATTTAATACATATTTTACATGAATGTTTCATACCTAAGATAGTATAAATCTTCATTAATAATCTTTCAACCTACTGTGCTGCAAATCGGCACCAGACACCACTTTGACAAAATGGCACCTCCACCACCGCCTCCTCCGCCTCCTCCCCCCGTGCCAGAGATTGGTTTCGATGCTATTCTTGACGGGTTATCGAATGGAGCTCAAGAAGGAAACAAGGTTTGTAAAGGAAATGTTAAAGCGATGTGTATGTTTGAATAACATGTTGTAGTTTGCATGAATATTGAAGATGTAAGCAGGGAATTCCCTGGAGCCAGCTGCTCGGGGAAGGGTTACCGCATCTGAATGACCAACCTGCCCGGCTGGGCCCCGGTCACAAACCGGCACCGTGTGTGGACTCGACTGAGGCCGAGGGGCAGGCTCTTTATATTATACTTTTATAGCTCTAGTAGTAAGACTAAGAGGCGGCTGTTCAAATTAACAATTGCAGAATCACTAGCATCACTTATAGTGACTGAAGATGCTAACATTTATTTATTGATCATCAGAATGCATGATTTCATAAATTCTTGCAAGATGTCAACTCCAATGAGGAAGCTCCGACGCCTTTGGCGTCGGGAAATGATTCAAACAGCAGGTTGACGACACTATCTCAAAATATGCAAAGGGAGTAATAACAATTTTGACTTACTAGGTTGCTCGACTCCTCTGGGCATCTCGCTGGCCACTTGAAATTATAATTTGAAGAAGTCTTTGATGGGAAAAAGGGGGTGATTCTTCGTCCTACCCCGACGATTCTTCCATGTTGTATCATCGATTCAACATGGCGAAGAGGAAATATGCACGATTGATTTGCTGCGCCGTTACCGCGCATGCATACTTTCTCTTCACCATTTCGAATTGAGGATAACGCCAGTGCATGGTTCAGGAACATGAAACCCGCAGAGCGCTCATGAAAAAAAAAAAATTGTCCACTTATACGAGGCCCTCGTTTATGCGGACTATCCTCATTCTGGGACCAGCGCCCCCCACTGGTTGTATGTATGGTATAATGCTACAATCGTAGTAGTCTACTTTGGGTTTTATTTCTCATCATAGATAATTATACGTATAGAATATAGAACTAAAATAGAAAAATGTTTAAGACTTCTAAGAATTAAAAATGTTATCTTCAGAACTCAGAAGCATCTCCAGCCACTAAGAGGAATCTTGCTTTGGATCTACATGTACATGTATGTGCACTGGGTATGTGCCTTTACAATGAACCTGGATCTTAAAGTAATAAGATGTATTGAAACAACACATTTTTATTCGAATTCATCTATTATGTGCCAAGAGAAAAAAAGTGAAAATGAGGTATCCATCAACTTGTTCTTGGCTATTGAATGCCTTTTAACCCTCAGAATAATTGTAGTGAGACAAAGCCTGATTGTGTTAAACTGGAAACATAAACACTGCCCTCTGTCAACCACATTCTCACAATTTCAATATAACATCATTTTCAATGAAATAAACTAAATACTGAACAAAATTTGACAGAATAAATTAAAACAAAAACCATTGGACAAAACCAGAAACAATTCAATAGCATCTTTAATATTAAATATATAAAAAAAAATGGCATCCTATCACTAAAAATACCTATCTTAGTTACAGGTGTACGTTTTGGTTGCTTTACCTTCACAATATATTAAGCTTCAAAAATTCCTTCATTTAAGAGCTGCAAAATTTAATACGCTATACACGTAGCCTACGTAGGTAAAAGCATCTGGTTAGAAGATACCATCCCTTAAATAATTGCAGTAACGTCCATGCAGGCATCAACATTTACTTTTACTTGACAGTCTTTTACTCTTTCACCCATAATCATTTGAATGCCTCAGTGTTTTTTAAATAAATTATTTTTCTTAATTATTATTGATTTTTATATACACACATTATTGTAGGTAACTGGGGGTAATTAGTCCCTCTAAATTGAGATGGTTATTTACATGTATGTCACATACTGTTTATAAAAACATTTTTTCATCTTTTAAGTATAAGAGAGGCATTCAGAATCAGAGTGGATCAACAAATGAGCAGATACTTGTACTGCAAGTGTGAATTAAGTGAGAAATGAATTTAAACTCATTCTTCAGATGGAAATTATAATGGTTACATGCCTCTAGCCGGCTTTGTCTGTTATACGCAGACAATGTTGTTCACAGCTTCATTTACTGGAATTAGCTGCATTATCGCCAGATAACCGAAGACAGCCTTGTGCTATTTCAAGCGACTTCCACGGAACAGTCATTTGGTTCCTGAGATCGTGAAGGACTTCTTAAGGGACTTCCCATCAAGTACAGAGCACTGTCTGTCATATCGAGGAGTGATTTACGAAAGTCTGTTGGTAAAAGTTTTGCTCTAGAAGCATCTTCATTGTGATGTAATGTACGTAGGCACACTTGTCATGTGGCTAGGTAGCTCAAGATACAGTAGTAGGACTTGGAGAGACAATTATCGTAGAAATTGATAGGGTCACTAAACATGTCATTGACAGGTCACTGAATGATGTGCCTTGTTAATTTTCATGTGAGCAATTAGGAATATTGTAAGTGTTTTATTAAATGAATGAATGGATGGATGGTGGATGTAAAAAATCTAATCCCATAATTAAAATCAGTATTTAAGAGATTGTTATTTTTATTTTTTTTGTCTGTGAATTATATTCTGTTCATCTTGTTCACTTTTGGTCATACTAGGGTGGTGTAGAAATCTGCGTTATTACCAGAAATAGATTCTCCAGTTAGCTCTAGAATCTGTCCTTTCTTTTTTTAAGATGAGAATTTGGAATATCACCTTATAGCTATTATAAAGTCACTCTACTTAAATAACTTTTCTTATGAATTCAACTTTAGACACACCTTTTTTGTGCTGACTATGAAAAAGACCTTTGAATGAGTAGCTTGTTGTAAATAGTTCATGAATGCGATGTACATGTACATATAATGGTTGTGTGTCATTTGGCAATACATGTAAGTTAAATCATGTACAAATTAGAATGTTGTTGTTTATTATAACTGAATCAACAAACTTCCTCCAAATGTTCTGCCCTTCCCACTTACACACATACATGTACACATGATTTAGGAATGACTTCCTGGGTGTTGTCTCCCTTTAAATCCAGAGACCTTGCCATGCCATGTTCAAACAAACTTTCATACGCTCACTTGAGGAACAGGTGGTCTGTACTAGTTATACAAATGTACATACGTGCTTGCTACTCTTGCTAGTATTATGAAATATTGAAGGAGCATATGGAAGCTTTGTATTACAGGGTCGGATCAGAGATATAGCATGTGTGTTTAATAGGCAGGCGTCCTCAATGCAATAACATCGGCTACAGTCGCGAGCGGATATTGTGGTACAACTGCTGCTGACACATATAGACCATACTGTACAAACTTCCGTCCCTTTTACACTTGGCCAATTTTGGACGTTGATATGTGTTGCCTAGGAAATGGAATTAGCCAAATACAAACCACATGCATATAGATTTTTTTCTCAGTTGAGCTCAGTTGTACCCTAATTTTAGACCCCTAAAAGAATCAAACATTTACTTGTAACATATTTTTTCTGGCACTTGTACTAAAATGCATGATTATAAGCTAGCACCCTCTGCTTATCTTGCCAAGTTGCCAGAGCACCATTTATTTTCTTTAATAAAAGATAATTTGAGACATATTGGTATTTTATGCCTATAGTACATATATACAAATTAGTTTTTGATTATATAATGACCTTTGTATCATATTGAGATCATATCTTTCTTCTAAATGGATTTATCCTAGCTTTGTTGTAGCTTAATTTTGGGTGCGGAAATAATGACATTTTTAGTAGTAACGTATTAATCTGGCACTACAAAATGAATGATTATTGGCTTTGCTACCCCTCTGCTTATCTTGCCTGAGCAACATGTATTTTTCTAAAGAAAACAAATGATTTGAGACAAAGTTGTATTTTAGGCCAACATCTACATTTATTTAGTAATTCAAATTAGTTTTTGGATTGTCATGACCTTATATTGAGATCATATCTTTCTTAAAAATGGATTTATCATAGGCTTTCAATCCCTGTAGCCATTGAATGTTGACCTCAATGTAGACTTTCTGTGTACTTTGTCATGATGTAGCCAAAGTTATGTTAGCCTATCTATGACTTGCAAAACTCACCCATCACAAGTTTTTCATGACTATGTATCAAAGCCAGGAGGATTGTTTGGTCCTTTCTCTCCAAGACTCGGTCCAACAAAGATTGTTTTTGATAGGAAGAGGATGCAGTAGTGAGGGAAGTCGTTCATTGAGTATTCTGGCAAGGCTGTATGACTGAATCTTCCTATTCAGATGACATATTGTAATCTGAACTACTGTATAGTAGGTTGCTCTATTCTAAGTGGTCTAATTTAGTAACCTATTCAAAGGGGTCATTTCATAAACGATTCTCCAAACATGGGGTGATGTTCTATCATTCAAATAGAATAGTTTTCAAGATATTGGTCTCCTGGTAAAGAAGAATATTTGCCATCGGCTTAGACCTGAGTGAATGTTGAAACCTTCCATATATGTTTCGAGCATGTAGTTTGTACTTTGTTTTTCTAGATATTTATTTGTAAAAATGTACACTAAAAATCATTCATTCACCATAATACTAAACGCTAGTTTTAGGCTTACATGGAAATCTGGGCCCTGTCTTATAAAGAGTTGATATTAATCGCAACTTATTTGCGATTATCTAGGAGACTGCAAATTTGCGATTGATTGGGATTTGGAGGACTTGTGTGATTGATTTGGATCAATCGCAACTTTTTATAATGAGTGAAAATGATGACACTTTCAATTAGTGCAACCTCACTGTCATCTCTTTATGGTCTCTACACTTGAAATTTAAAAACAACTTAAATCAGTAAAAAGCCTTCACCTGCTCATATCTTGCTGTTAAGGTTATAAGATGATAACAAGTATTCAAAAGATCAAGAGATTTGATATTCACTTTGTGTGAGTGTGGGTTTAGTAATTTTTGAGAGACTAGATGAGCTTAGAATGATACATGAGATGGCATAATGAAGAATAAGTCCCTGACCTTTCCTCAGCTTTTCCTGACACGAAACCTTTAATCACTGTACAATTTTAATGATTTCCTCCTAATAATACTCATCTGTGTTTTCTTTCTTTTAATCATTA